TTTATTTTATATTTCATTTTAAATTTACTTAATATTAATTTATTTAACTAATCCATTATTCTATCCTTTATTTAGATGGTAAGAAATTAATGATTTTATATTTCATTTTAAATTTACTTAATATTAATTTATTTAACTAATCCATCTGTATTAAACATATATTCTCTAAGTAAAATCTCAGAAAAAGGAGTTTGTATATCATATGATGACAATATTGTAAAATCATCAACTGTTGCTGAATTAGTTTCTTGACCTTGTAAAGCTGCTTTCTGAGGTCTTTTACGAATAGAAGGATATTGTAAATATTTATGCATTGTTAAGTATATATAAGTTGGATAATATTTATGACAAATTGAACAATAGAGTCAAGTATAAGTTTCTTGGTCAAGAGAGAGATAATGAATATCATAGCCAGGAATTTTAACTTTGTCAAAATATTGAAGTAGGTGAATAGGATTAAGATAGTGACTATCACATACTTTGGTAACTGGAGGTAGAAAGCTATTATTGATCTGGAAAAAATTTATAGTTTTCACATCTCTGACAGGTTTACAATATTCAAAATTGTTGTATCATTTAATATTAAGTATATATTAACATAAATTGCAATGTTTTTCTATTCAAGACCATAGTATGACAGAGATATTAGTAATTTCCTTTATTTTACTAATGAAATCAAGATTAATAAATGAATTATTAATCTTATTAATGTAGGTTACCTTCACTGACTTTCCAAAGATAGGATCGTGATAGTGAAAATTATGAATCATCAAATCTAAATCATTAACTTTGCCTTGACTGTTCAAGTGTTTGCCAAAGTGATCTATTGGCAATGTAATTCCAGTAAGCTTTCCAGAAAGTGTTGCTATTGCTCTCTTAACTGGATTATATTTTGATTATCTAGAAATATGTGTACGTATAGTCAGGTAGTCTAAATTAAACTTCTTGAAAAATTTACAATATGATACTATATTTTTTAAATATCTAGGATTTTTGTCAGATTCTCTATCAATCAACAACATTCAAATCAGTTTTACAGTACCATTTATCTTCAAAGCTTTAGTATATTATGCATCAGATATAAGAAAAGAAAGATCTTTTATATGAGTTATAGATGATGTACCAACTGACCATTGAGGATGAACAAAAATTGCTAATTGTCCAGATTGAAGATCATCTTTTGTTTCATTTAGTTGAATGATAAGATAGACTGATAGTATTAATTTTTGATTACTTTCACAGGGAAAATCATGATCAGACACACCAATTAGTTTGGTAATTGATTATAAAGTGCAAAAAATTCTACCAACTGCAGGTATGCCAAGATCTATTTTTGATTTATCATCTTGAGAGATTATAACAGATGCTTTAGCGAATACTTATGTAAATTGTCTTGCTCCTTTGACAGAGACAAGATAATAGTATTCATCAGAATGTTCTTTTATTTCATTATGTAAAACTCCAGCTACTGCAACTCAAGCTAGATGATGATGTGCTTTTGCTACAATTAAATTAGATCAATGAGGAAGAAGATAATTATTCAAGGTTATTTGAGCTATATAAATATTATAATTTTCCTCAAGACTTTTCTGAAAATGATTCACAATTCTAACTTTTACAATTTCTTTTCATCTATGTATATCAGCTGATCTATATTTTATCAAATCATATATATGATTAAGTAAGTCAGAATGCTGAAATAAAAAGCATGATCTACCAGGTTGATCATATCGAATTATTTCTTGTCTTTCCTCTAATACTTTTTGCTTCTTGTTTTTGCATTTAGACTGATACTCTGCATTTTGTTTTAATTTTTGGATTTATTCTTTTTATACTTGAATTTCATTTTGAAGATCACCTATTTTCATATGTAAGTCATGCTGAAATTGAAAGTCTGTTATAATATTGTACATATACTCAAATTCACTAAGTTGTTTTTCAGCTAATCTTTTAGTATCGGCAATTCTTTTTTGAGCTGTTGCATTAAAGCGAATTTCTTCTGTATCAACTTCAGATATCAGTGCAATAATGGGCGAAATATTATTGATAGTAATTGTAGATATTTGTGATTGAGAGGATATAGAACAAAAAAGATTTTGCATGTTCAAAGATGTAGTCAAATATTGCATGATAATATTGTTAATATCTTGTTTTTTGATATTTTGCCACTCTTTTACAGCTATATTACAAATTATTGATTGGTTTAGAGTTGGATTTTTATTTTTGACCATGAAGTTATATACAAATGTATTTGTAAATTCTTTATATTTAGTTTTTGGAAATTTGTAAATAGATTTTTTATTGAACTTGGAACTTGAAAGAAAAGTTTGCTTGCTCATCATTGTGAGATTATAAGCAATGATTTACTAACATGTATATATAATATTATAATTATATAAATCACGTATTTAAATATTTTATCTGGAGGAAAGGAGGAGGTGCTCTATAATAAAATAATATTATATAATAAATATCATAGCCCTAATTATAATCCAATAATTAATGATAATTATAAATAATAATAAATAATAATATAAATAATAATAAAAGAGAATGAGTAAGAAAATAAAGAATTATTAAAAGAAAAATATTAATAATCTAAATTAATAATTGTGATACACATAGTGATCATCTAAGTAACAATGTGCTAAATCTAGATGTATTAAATACATAATAATCATCTATATATCCAAAGTGAAAATGATCTTTTTAGAAATGTAATACAAAGCTAATCTGTTATACAGATAGCACAAAATGAAGATCTAAGCTAAAAGAAATCTAAAGGAAAATAACTCAATTAAAATTATTACATACCCCTCTACTTAAAGTACAATATCCTTATTATATTCAAGAGCGCGAGTTTTCAAAGATATTGACCTTCTCTATAGCATTTTTCAAGTTTTCTAGAGGTTTCCAAGTTGTATCATAGAGAGGATAACCTAGCTATTTGACAAGATATTGGGGTTTGTGATAATGAACTCTTTTGTCAAGAATATTTTCAACTTTATATTCTTCTTCATTATCTGAGGTGATGATTGCTGGTGGTGATTGATGTCTATTATATTCATCATCAGGATTATATTTCTTTAGAAGTGATATATAAAATACTGGATATAATTTCATATTCTGTGGTAATTATAATTTATAAGTGATAAAAGATATTTTGGTGGTAACTTCAAAGAGGTCTATGAACTTTGATGTAAGTTTCTTGGTTGTTCTTTGTTTATTAACTAGAGATTCTATATTGTGAGTTGAGAAAAGAACTTTATCTCCAAGATTGAATTCTTCAAATCTTCTGTATTGATTTGCATATTTTAACTATCTTTCTTGAACTTCTAATAACAAATCTTTGGCAGTCTTTATCATGATATTCTAGTATTTCATGAAATCTTGAGAGACTGCAACATTATTTTGTGATGACAGAATATTGATTGGTATGTGAGATATTTGTCCACAATCTAATTCAAAGGGTGTGTGACCTGTTGAAGCATTTTTACTATTATTATAAGCAAATTTTGCAGCTGCTAAGTTTTTATCCTATCTATTTTGCTGATAGATAGTATATATTCTAAGCATCTCTTCTAAAGTTCTATTTAGTTTTTCTATTTAGCCATCTGTTTGTGGGTAAAAGACTGTAGACATAGTGAGTTTTGTGCCTAGTTGTTCAAAAAGAGACTTCTAGAAGTGACTTGTAAATTTTGCATCTCTATCTGATATTATAATTATGGGTAAGCCATACAATTTAAAGATATTTTCAAAGAATATCTTAGCAATATCAGGTGCTATTGCTATTATTATAGTTGATATGAAATGCATTCTTTTTAATAACTTGTCTACAAAGACTACTATAATATCATATCCAGACTTAATGATTAGGAGTTGTACTATAAAGTTCATGATGATATATTCCCATCTATGTTTTGGAATAGCTAAAGGTTGTAATAATTCTGAGGTTTGTTGATTACTACTTTTATTGTGCTGACAAGATTCACAACTGGTGATATATTTGTGAATATTTTTATTCATCTTTGATCAATAAAATTATTGAGAAACTGCTGCATATGTTTTATTAATTTTAATATGTCCAGCTATTAGTGTATCATGAAATTCAAACAATATTTTTGCTTTCAAATTTTTATCATCTGATATGGCCAAGTGACTAGTATTCTTCAAGTAAAGTAGTTTATCTTTTAACTCAAAATTTTTGATTTTAGTTTGTTGCTTTGGGTTAGTACTGTTGAAGTTCTTCAAGACTTCATAGATTTCTGTAAAATATTTATCTGCTTGATATTTCTTTATCAAGTATTCTTTATTAATAAGGTTGATAATAACAACTGAAATATTTGCCAGATATGATTGATGTAAAAGTGCATCTGCTACTACATTATTTTTGCCAGGTTTATATTTAATTTCAAAATTACTGGCCTGTAAAGTCTCTAACCAGCGAGTCTGTCTCTTGGAAAGATTATGCTATGTTTTAATATATTCCAAGGAGGCATGGTCTGTGATAACTATAAACTTTTGGTCTTTTAAATATGACTTCCAGAGTCTAATAGCATGTATAATTACAAGTAATTCTTTTTCATGAATCAGGTAGTTTTGTTCAGCTGGTGAAAGTTTTCTTGATTCAAAAGCTATTGATTGATCATTCTTATCTTGGTTTTGGCTTAACATAGCTCCTATAGTGAAATCTGAAGCATCTGTGATAACTATGAATAATAGTTTTGGGTCAGGCAACAACAAGACTGGGGCTGAGATAAGATATTGCTTTAATTATTCAAAAGCTTGTTGCGCTATTATAGATTATTCATACTCTTGATCTTTGTGTAGAAGTACTGTGAGTGATGAGGTAGTTACTAAAAATTCTTTCACAAATTTTCTATAATAACTTGCAAGACCTAGGAATGAGTAAAGTTCTGATATATTTGTTGGTGCTGGCCAATCTCTAATAGTGATAATTTTTCTTTGATCAACAGAAATACCATCTGCTGAGATAAAATGTTCAAGATATTCTACATACTGCTGAATAATATCATACTTCTTCCACTTGGCATACAATTTGTATTTGCAAAGTATTTCTAAGACAGTCTGAAGATGTTGAATATATTCTTTCTTTGTTTTACTGTATATCAAGATATCATCTAAGTAAATGATCACAAATTTGTCAAGGTAATCATGAAATA